TGAAGGATCATGTGACGCTGAAGACTGGAGTAATGATGCTGAAAATTTTGCTTTAATATCACGGGAATAAATTACATTTTAATGTATATTAAAATATGAAACCAATATTAGAAATTGCAATAATATTTCACAATATTATTGTTTTTTCTGTATTTTTAATCAAATAAATACAGCCTTGATGAGCATAAGAGACTCCATTAAAAAACATTAAAAATCTTACTGATCCCAAACATTTGATCAGCAGTCTATGTAGTATTTATTTATGCATTAGAGTAGGCTACTGAGAATTAAAATGCAGAAAAACTTAATTTATTTGAATGTAATCCAAGTTTGATGTCATTTTAAAATAATTATCATAGGCTGTGAAATCACTTTTTTTGACCGGCTTTGTGAAAGTCACTCTACCATGTGGCCTTTAGTGCAGATAAACCATCACGCGTGAGAAATATGTTTGCTGTACGTGTGGTTGATCAGATCCAAGCCTGATGCAGGCAGTTAGCGAGATCGCGCTCTCTCTCTAAATAAATAAATGATGGGGATCTGTAGCTTTCACTCCAGATTGAAGCCGCTGAGTGGATGGTGTCAGTCTCATCGTTGTCTTTTGAGTTTAGCTGAGAGCTGTTAGCGCCCGATTATGTTTTAAGTATGCACCAGGGAGAGGACTGCACAATCAATTCTCTCTGTATTTCTCTTTGTGGCTTTGTTGCTGCACTGAAAGCGTCCTGTAAACCGCCTGTCTTCTCGTCTTCTGCCTGTGCACCCACTTAATTCCAGTTATGAGCATGACAAATTGTATGCGTGAGTCAAAAAAAGACGATCGTTGTTTGCAAAAACTGTAAAGAGTATGAAGTTTTAAATGCTAGGGCAGAGATTGCATTAGCCCAAAATGACTTTTATTTTACACCTTGATTTAAAGTGACCCGGCAGTGTTTGCGTTCATGAAGACTGGCATATTTCTCAACTACTCGCAGCAGGTATAATTTGTCCTGCATTGGGACTGTTAGACTAGTTGGATGGCTGTATTTCTCATATAGGCTATTCTTCACAAGCAAAATTACAAAGTAAAAGTGAACCACAAAGGTGCTAACCATATGCTAAAACCACATATGGAAACCACCGCCAGGGTTTTCTGTGATCGTGTGTTGCCATATAGAGTGGAAATGGACATCAGTTTGGGCATTTAGTGGATATTCTCAAGTTTGAATGGTTCCCAACTAGGGATGGGTATCGTTAAGGTTTTAATGGTATTACTACTCTTACCAATACTGCTTATCGATTCGGTACTTTAACGGTATTCTTATCGGTACTTTTTGTTT